TTAATTATTTTAGTTCTTGTTTTCTATTAACAGCCAATTGGCTGATGTAGTTTTTCAAATTTTTGTTTTTAGTTGCAAAAGCAAAAATATATGATGTATTTATATACATAAACTTTTTTTTACCTACATTTTACATCTATACATACTAGTACTAAAATACTTGTTATTGTGATAGCAACAAATTTACATGTTTATAATATTTAAAAATTATATTAAAAGTAATTTTGAATTTTAAACAAATATCTTTAATTCTCTAAGCAGAAAATTATGAAGCGCCGTTTGTGCCACGTAAAACAATGATAAAAAACTTTTTAATGCACGTAGGAAATAAATTTCTTATGGGAAAGTATTTACCACGTTATAGTAAATATTTTCTGTACAAAAATATTTCTCCCATATGGGATTTTTATTGTAAGAAAGTTTTTTTATATAAAAAAACTTTCTTACAATAAAAATCTTTCTTCCACAAAAAGAAACATTTTTCTCACAAAAATATTTTTTCCCACAAAAACTATTTCTCCCGCAAAAATATTTCTTCCACACCAGGAAACATTTTTCTCACAAAAATATTTTTTCCACAAAAATATTTCTTCCTATTTCTTCCCCACAAAAAAAATATTTCATAAATTATTAAAATATTTCTCGCGTTACAAAACTTTCTTCCACAACAAGAAAAATTATTCCCATAAAAAAATATTTCTCACAGAAATGAATGCTTCATTCTTGCAACAACAGATGGCGCTCTACACCCATTGATCTAAGTAGGTATGTATGCAATCTACAATTATTTACAGCTGTCATATGGAGCCAGGTAAGTAAATTAATAGCAACTAAGATAAAGATTGTTTACAATAATACGTCTTCACGTTAAACTTTATCAATCTTTATCTTAGTTGCTATTAATTTACTTACCTGACTCCAATTAACGTTGTAAATACAGTTGTATTTACTTATTATTTACTTAACACCACCATATAACCTTACACAAACAACAACTTGTCATTAACAAGCCATAGCGCGAAATATGACAGCTGTAAATAATATTTAGATTGCATACATACCTATAGGCAGGGTTGGGTCAGTAGAAAACCTTAGGTAATTTACCTTGGTAGAAAAGGGTAGAAAACTTGTTTTCGACTTGCGTCGAAAACCTATAGGGTTTTCTACCTACGTAAATTACCTTATTCGACCTTCTCCTTCCACTTCTCTATAATTGATAAAAATTTGCCCTCATGCCAAAAATTATGTTGGGGTCTCCCAACCAAACGTGGCCCTTTTTTTCCCACCATAATAATGTTAAAAAACTCCAAATAACTTCAAATTTATGGTAGGTGTCTGATTTTTCACAACATTTAACAAATCATAATAAACAACAAACTTGCATAACCTCACATTTTTTGATATTTGACAGTATTCTACTTTTTTACGTTTTCTACCGTCGAAAAGTCGAAAAAGGTTTTCTACATGTCGAAAACAAAAATGTAGGTAGATACCCAACCCTGCCTATAGGTATACTTAGAACAATGCATATACTTACCACAAGTATATGGAACAATGGTGCATTCATTTCTGTGAGAAATATTTTTGTTGTGGGAATAATTTTTTTCTACTCCTATTACGGAATTTGACCCTTTTAAAATCACTTTTATCTATGGAATGACATATATTCCGTAGTGTAACAGAATGAAATATTCTATCATCTGATGACAGAATAAACACTCGTGGCGACATCTCTGTTTTTAATATCTAACAAATTTTAGACCGATCCAACCTCACTTTCTTCCAATTAAATTATTTTTCTATGGTATTTTTTGGAAACGTAGAAAAGTATAGTCTGAAACACGTTTGGAATTGCTACAGAATATTTTTACAGAATATACTATTCTATCATCTGATGACAGAATAAACACTCGTGGCGACATATCTGTTTTTGATATCTAACAAATTTTAGACCGATCCAACCTCACTTTCTTCCAATTAAATTATTTTTTTATGGTATTTTTTGAAAACGTTGAAAAAGTATAGTCTGAAACACGTTTGGAATTGCATATTCCGCTCTCGTGAAACCGTCAGCGAAGGCGACCTTCGGCTCGTGTGACAAACTCTTCACTCGAGCGGAATATGCTATATTCCAAACTTGTTACAGAATATACTATTCTCTACGACTACTTAAGAATAGTAACATTAGTAACAATAGTGTAAATTTTGATCATAGAAAGAATGTTTTTCTGCAATACTGTGCGAGAATATTCCTACTCTTGTTTAAGAATGGTCACAAGTAACGACATCTCCTGGCTGTTTACTAAACGTAAAAATATTTAAATATTACTGTATTATTTATTAATTAAAAAATAATAGCAGTTGTATAATAAAGGTTTAGGCACAAAAAATTAGTTATATTTATTGTTTTTCAAATATACAAATCAAAATTATAATAAATTTGATATTAAAATGATAAACCAGTTACCTACTATACCGGCTTTGAAGTTTTGACAGATTCAAAAAGTTTAAAAAAGACCTTTAAAATGTAGAAAAAGAATAGATGTTGACATAGATTACTTGTAAAATTAGTTTTGTATTTGTTACAATGTTATTTTTTTATTAGTAAGTGTAAATAACTATTTTTAATTATAATAAAGATTTAGGCATACCATTTGATTAAATTTATTATAATTTACATTATAAAATTGTGACGGCACAAAATGGTTTGACAATACAAAAAACTTAAATGTCAAAAACTGCTTGGTTTCTTTTCTGTTTAAAATTATATAAGCGTTACTATTCTTACGTAGTCGTAGAGAAAATAATGTCTAAAACACGTTTGGAATAGCATATTCCACTCTCGTAAAACCGTCACACTCGCCTTCGGCTCGTGTGTCAAATTTTTCCTCGAGCGGAATATGCTGTATTCCAAACTTGTTACAGAATGTACTATACTATAACGTGGTAAATACTTTCTCATACGAAATTTATTTCCTACGTGCATTAAAAAGTTTTATTTATCATTGTTTTACGTGGCTCAAACGGCGCTTCATAGAAAACAGTTATAATAAAAAAAAAAGAAATATATATCCAAATTTTGATATATATCGGATATTTATCTATATATATATATCAGATATCTGGATATTTATATATATATCATGATATTTGCCAGCCCTGTATTCGAATACCCGAATATTCGAATAATTTGAATATTCGAAATAATTTTCAAACAAGTATTCGAATTTCCAAAACTAAAAAATGTCCAGCCTTAATAAATACTTTGTTCCACGGATTGGGATGTGGTTTGCTACGTACCTCTGCTAACTATTTTAGCCTGTTTAAAGTAAGAAAGAGGAATACCTACTTATAATTTTTTTTATATCATATAATACATATTTTTATTTTTTTTTACGCATACCCTCTAATTATATTTATTACTTGTTTATATACTCCCAGTAAAAATTTCAAAAGAAGATATAGTTCATGACTGTATTTTTCTAATGATTTTATTAAATATGATTACTAATTAATATTATTGCTTTTGTTTCTATCATTTCTTTCACTAATTTAGTTGATTTTATAAATATATAAATATATTAATATACTAATTAGTATTGCTAAAATATACTGTTATATGAAATTTCAGCTTTTTATAAGCATTTCTTTTCTTGATGTCCTCCCAAAAATATTTCAGACAGTTCAATAAATTTTTGGTAGTCATCTCTCACAATAGACTCTTTTAGTTATTTAGAGTAAAACCCATTAAGTTTATCAATTTCAGAGTTTACGGCCTATTCACCAGACCCTTCCGGGTAACTAGCCACTCCCTGTGAAAATATACATTTTTATCAAAGTATACACATAAATAAAATTATATTTTAACATTTGTCAATAATTTATAATATAAGGGTCACATAATAACAAACACAAAATGACTTACGATCGACCTCGCGACCAACCGTGTTACAAAATAGCGCGCGCCTAACGTTGGCTAACGGAGGGTTCATATGCAAGTCGGCACGGGTTCCCGTTTATAGAATGAGCTGAAATTTTTACTGGGAGTATATAAACACGTAATAAATATAATTAGAGGGTATGCGTAAAAAAAATAAAAATAAGGGACACCCTAATATACAGTGTGTCCCGCTTTTCATAAATCCACCCTTATATCTCAGTTATTATTAATGCGATTTTGTTGGAGAAATTAAATATTTGCCATAGTAAAATTTTGTATTTATCATTGGCGTACGGTTTTAGGGGGTAAAAGAGGGTCGATTTTTGGGCAAAAGGATATTAGGGCCTATTTTAGATAATTTTTTCAATCATATTTAGATTTGGCATCCCAAAAAACCCCTTAATCCATATTCTTAAAATCTAAAAAATTGATTATGGCAGAAAAAAAAATTAATTAATTTATTAAGACATCACGCTGACCAGAGCACATTAAATCAAAGAGTTCTTTGAAACCCAAGTTTTTGTTTGACATTTGGCAATTCGTACGAATTGTCAAAAGTTAAACAGTGTCATTTATCAATGCATTCATAAAATGGCACAAAATCATAGAGTAGTTCTTACAATTAAAGAAAAAGTTGAAATTATCCGCTTAATTGGTGATAATGAAAGAGCAGTTTTTGAGATTTTAAGAATGTATTAAGGGGTTTTTGGGGATGCTGAATCTAAATATGATTGAAAAATTTATCTAAAATAAGCCCTAATATCCTTTTGCCGAAAAATCGACCCCCTTTTACCCCCTAAAACCGTACGCCAATGATAAATAAAAAAATTTACTATAGCAAATATTTCATTTTTCCAACATACAATCACCACCCAAATTTGAAGAAAATCGCATTATTAATAACTAAGATATAAGGGTGGATTTATGAAAAGCGGGACACACTGTATATATATATCAGGATATAAACATCATGATATATATGCCAACCCTGCCAGTGACAAAAACGAAAATAGCACTGCCGTTGCCTCCAACTGTTAACAATTGAATTTCTACGTTGTAGTGCCAACTGAACGAGCTGAAATCCGCGCACGCGCCCACCGCGTCGGCGCTGCGCACCGCCCTCTTGGACCCTGCGGTGAATAGCCTGCTGCAGCAGATGCGCACCGAGCTTCAAGCGCTGCGCCTGAAGTTAGAGGACACGCAGAACGAGTTGGCAGCGTGGAAGTTCACTCCCGACAGCAACACCGGCAAACGGCTGATGGCCAAGTGCAGGCTGCTGTACCAGGAGAACGAAGAGCTGGGCAAGATCACCAGCTCGGGCCGCATGGCGAAGCTGGAGAGCGACTTGGCCTTGCAGAAGAGCTTCTCGGAGGAGGTGCGGCAGAGCCAGAACGAGCTGGACAGCTTCCTCGCCGACTTGGACGAGGACGTGGAGGGCATGCAGAGCACGATCCTGTTCTTGCAGCAGGAGCTGAAGAAGGCGAAGGACCTGGCGGCGGTGCTGCAGAAGGAGAACTGCGCGCTCAAGGCGACGACGAACGGTAATATGAACAGAGCGAACGGCGACGCGGCGAGCGACGCCAGTGCGGACGTTAAGGCGGACGGCTGCGGTGAGGGGGACGGGGGGGAACGGACAGCCAGCAGGGTGAAACGCGTGCGCCGCTCGTCCGTGCTGAGCATCGACTACAACGAGGACGACGCGCTGCTGGCCATCGGCACCAACGGCGACGTCGCCATGTCCAGCGACGCCGAGTAGCGGGGTTCTTTCTTCGTTCGTTTGGGGGAGCCAGTGTTGCGCCGGTCGGAGGCTCTTCGAGGCAAATGTCCGGGTTGTTTGCTTCGAACTCCCAACGCAAGCGTCCAGCAATAATTTATTCATATCGTCGTTGCCAGCTTTACAGATCGGAATTTGTAAATATGAAAAACTAAAACGGTAAATTGTTGATTTTAACATATATTCTATAACTTTGAATTGGCTGAATTTGGCTAGAAAGATTACCCCACCAGCGTACGCCATCCAGTGTGTGCAACTTGACAAACCTAAAAAAAGAAAACAAAAAAAACTGACGAACAGTATATTAAAATTGTACATAGATTATAGCCTGTTGTGATTTTATTCAGAAATCACTTGTGAACTACTTTTGTGCGGGGTATCGCAGAATTTTAATTTTGTACACCCTTACAGAATTTTGCAAAAATATTTTTTTGAACAAATACGCCCGGTATATTTTGCATTATTTGACCTAAAACTAAGTAATTTTACTTTTGTATAAAATTTTTTAGTTGTTAAAAACATTTTCGCATTTTATTTAATCTGTTTTAAACGTTTTTTTAACATTTATATGTTAAAATTGTATAAAAACCCTATTAAACATAATATATTATGAATATTGTTGTTTTATTCATTTAAACTTCCCTCCACGATCAACACAACTAAAGCCGGATCTACAATTGTCGCAGGTCGCAGAACATAAGCTTCCGCAAAGCACCCATCGCCACGTCGCGGGTGCTTTGCGCAAGCTTATGTTCTGCGACTCGGATTTACCTGAGAACGACGCTTTTATTTCATATCAAATTTTATAAAAAAATTTATATAAATATAATAATTTATTAAACTAGGAAAAGCTATAAAATGTTCAAATCAATATTTTATAATTTTGGGAATTTAAAAAAATCCAAAAATTTTGGAAAATTTCAAATTTTTTAAATAACGGAATTTAAATTTGAAAAATTTGAATCTAAAAAAATTTTTAAAAATTTAAATTTTTAAATATTTTAAGTAAAATATTAAAAACTTCACGATTGTAAACTTTCAAAATTTTGATTTTGAAATAACAGAAATTTCCCAAATTTTTAAAATGTTTTAAAATCTGAATGTATTAAAAAAAATTTTTATTTTTTAATATTTTAAAAATTACGAAAATTTTACGAATTTTGTAAAATTGCAAAATTTTGATTATTTTTAAAAATTTAAAAAAATATTAAAACTTTGGAAATAAAAAAAATTGGAAAATATTTTTTTTTTAAATTTTTCATCATTTTAAAAATTTTGAGAAATTTAAAGTAGTAACCTATCCAGCTTACGTTCAAATCCTGTAGAAATTTAAATTTTTCAATATTTTGAAAATATCAAAATTTTTTGAAAATTTGACGATTTTGTAAAATAACAAAATTTTGATAATTTTGGAAATTTTAAAGATCTTGAAAATTTATTTACTATTATTATTTTGAAACATTAGAAATTTGGTAAATTTGGAAAATTCACAAAACTTCATAAAATTTTGATTATTTGAAAAATTTTGTTCATTTTGAAAATTTTGCAAAACATGACAATGTTGGAAATTTAAAAAAATCTGAAAATTTTGTAAAATTATGATTATATTAAAAAATAATGTACATTAAAACTATTTAGGTACATACCTAAATAGTTTTAAACAGTAATTTTTGATTAATTCAAAAAACTGTAAATATGAAAGTTTTGGAAATTTCAAAAAATTGAAAATATTGTAAAATTTAATTTTTTTGATTGTTTTGAAATATGTTACTTTACAAAAATTTTGAAAATGTTGGAAAATTTGACAATTTTAGAAAATCTAAATGTTTTAAAAATTTTGGAAAATTAAAATTTTTGAATTTTTTGAAAATTCCGAAAAAATTGAAATATTTAACTATTTAGAAAATTCAGGAAAATCTGAAAACATCGTAAAAATTTAAAATTTTGAATTTGAATATGTATATTGTGTAAACTTAAAAAATCTTGGTAAATATGACAATTTTGGATATTTTGAAAATCAGAAAATTAAAAAAAAATTACAATAATATGAAATTTTGAAAATCTTGGACAATTTGACAATATACATGGTGTATATGTCAACAATAACCTTTGGAGGAGTGAGGCCAGCTCATAACTAATCAAAACAAGACCTTGGTAAAAACTTGTTAGTTTTGGCGCTTTATAGTAGTTTTTTACCTTTTGAAAACAGAAATTTTTACCCGTTTTTATTATTATATTAGTTTTATTTTGAACAATAATCAGACGTATTCAGGGTTCCTTAACCAAAAATAGAATCCTAAGATATAAAATGTTGTGCCAATGTCAAGTTTGATATTGTGGTTAGTCATAAGATGGCCAAGCAGTCCTCCAAAGTATATCGTTGACTTTTGGGACACGCTGTATTAGAATATTGTAGTTTTATTCATTTAAATCTCCCGCCAAGATAGGATACATTAAAAGTACGCAGTGACTGCTACCCCGTGCGCACGGAACCATAGTTGGCTGACTCGCGCTCCTTGCGCACGGAACAATAGGTCACAACTCGCGCCCCTTGCGCGCGGAACAATAGATATGGGACTCCTGCACCGTACATATGGGGTTAGGACATAGATGCGATGCGCTAGAGAGTTTTTAATAATTTCATAATGGTATTTTTACAAAAAAGCATTAATATTAAAATGTAATTTATTAAAAAATAATTGGAAAATACATGTCTTTGGCGGAGTGTCTTGAATGTCTTATTTGAGTTCCTTTTTCTTTTAGACCCAATTATCGTCAACTTTGACCCCTTGGGTCTGCCGCATTTTTGGTGCACCAAAAACTATCACAAGAAAAAGAAATACCGTTTGAAAAAAAATATTAGTAAGTAATAGTTCGTTTATACCATATTTGTTTCCAGTTATTCCCTTTTTGTCATGACGTCATTATTGTTAGTCATGTTGATGTTTATTTTTAGTGGTATTTCTTTTTATTGTGATAGTTTTTTATCTTCTGGAAATTCTGGTATTTTTTTTTCATCTGTTACATCAATATCTCCTGCTAATATTTCTGCTTCTTTTATTTCTCTTTTTTCTTATAGTTCTATGGCTTTTGATAACATTTCTCCTTCTGATATTTCTCTTTCTTCTGATAGTTCTATGTCTTCTAATAATATTTCTTCTTCCATTTCTTCTGGTATTTGCATAGTTGTAATTATTATTGTTATTAATATTCTCATCAAACACTTCAACAATTAAAACTTTTTTCTTGTTTTGATAAAAGAATTTCAACAACTTCATTTGGTCCATAATTTCTCGGTATGTCTTATTCCCATATTGAGATATAGTGACTGCTAAGGAATTGCATAATTTGGAGGCCTCACTAAATTTTTGATGCTGATTTAAAACTGGTTTGTTTGTGATATGTTCAGTAAGCACTTCGTTGTGTGAATCATAAATCGGTACAACTTTCATAGTTGCTCGATGATTTTCAACATAAAACTTTACATGCCATCTTTTATTTATCAATGATTCATCAAATAATTCAACATTAGAACATTTTCCAACAAATAAAATATGACGACAAGGTAACTTCATTTGATTCGGAAACCGACAGGAACATGCATACTCAATAAAATAATACTTAAGATCTTGATTGCCTTTTGAAGCTCTAAGATACTTTGTTACCGCTTTAGATAATAAACAGGAATCCCTTTTTTGTAGAGTAATGAATTTGCTTGTTTCATATTTGTTAATTTTCTCTTCCAATTCTTCAAACGTTGCAAATAACGCACCTACCTTTATTTTCACTTTCACTTAAATCATAAACTTATAACCTAACCTATATGAAAGTATCAAGCCTCGCACGGAGCGCAAGCCACATATCTATTGTTCCGTGCGCACGGAGCGCGAGTCCGCCAACTATGGTTCCGTGCGCACGGAGTAGCAGTCACTGCGTTAAACGTAACCCATCGACGACCAATCCATATACTTACGTATATATATAAGTATGTAAGTATATGGACCAATCAGAGCGTAGCAGCATTTCCCTAGTGAAAAAGATATCAAAAAAATGTCATTGCTTCTCAAATTAACATTATTTTGATATCTGATATATCAGGAAATTGATATCAAAATGATATTAAAATGATACATATTTAATATATCCTAAAATAAATGTTAAAATGAGATTAATTGCAATACATGTATGTAAAAATTACATCAGTATGATATGTCATTCCAACATAAGTACGATATGTCATTATGACCTCAGTTAAATATCAATATTCTAATATAATAATAAGCACAAGGCATTCGGCAAACTGTCGGCCTCCGCTCGGCACAAGCGGCAGGCCGGCTGTTCGGCTTGCCCCAGGCGGCCCGCTTACGGTCCTCATTATGGTAGCCCGGTTACCGTGTGGCCATCGTCTAACCCTGTTCGGTTAGATAGCGGCAATGCCACAGTTTACTGTGGCAATGCCGTTGCATATGCGGTTCGGCTTGCCCCCAACCGATCCGCGTACGGACCGTGTATGTAAGCCCGGTTAGCGAATGGCCATATTCTAGCCGAAGCCGTCCAGAACCTGGCCAGCATCACGATTTAATATTGTAAATTGGATTTGGGCGAGATTTAAATTAGCCGCTCTTGCTGGGTTATCGCGTTGGCCAATAGCTATCAACCATGCTCAGTCCGTTCTGTAACAGAACTTCTGTTGTCCGACAAGTGCATTGCCGCCATTGCGTGTGTTTGTTATAATTGCGTTGAAAGTGTTTTTCTTTTATAATCTGTGGTGTTTTTGTTTATGGTTGTCAGGTCGCACAGAACATAAGTTATTGTTATACATTGTTATATGGTTAAACATTGTTTTATGGTTGGCAGGTCGCCTACATTCACTCTGTGCCTACATTGTTGTTAAAGTGTTTTAAAGTACGTTACAAATTTTAATATATATTTTTCTCCGTGTATACTATGTATAAACTCTATTGTTTCTATGTTCTGGTTCT